ACACTGGACCATTTTATTCTAAAGAAAACGCCTTATTAATTTTCGGCCCATAGAATAGAAAAGTATATCATTCAACTATACCTTATGTTTTTAGGTCCCATATGGAATTTTAAATCAATCTCTATTACATGCTGCTTAATACATTGAATTCAAAATAAAAGTGAGCAGTTGATATGAAACCTATAACCTGGGGGAAGAAAATAGGATATTACCCCCAAGATTTACTTTCATTATGCATTCATTAGTTTTCTATCATTAGCAACCTTTTTTTGAATATTTATTTATCTTCCCATCCTCTTTTTTTTATCTATATATTCAATCTGGTTGAATACTCCATTTGGATGAGTTATGTGGCAAGTTCACAGTATCTACAACTTATTATCCTTCGGGAGAAGTTTTTCTTATAGGAGTAGATATTTCAAAGAGAGCATCAGATTTTACATGAATATGCAAATCCGATTTGTTCACATCTTAAATATGACCTAGAAAATTTTCAAGAAAATTGGCTAACATGAGGACAAATAGGCTAAAAAGACTTCTAGCTTTCAAGATTTTAGTTTTCAAATTTGCCTAAGCTCTTCATAGCTTTATGTCTATTTTGTCCCTCTATTGCTAGCTTTATTATTTGCTTGATCTAGAGTGTGTAGCTTTCAGAATTATAACTTATTTCCCCTCAAATTGGCATGGAAGACTTAAATTGGCCTATCATTCAAATTAAATTTTGTAGCACGCCAGCAGGACATACAAAAGAACTCCAACAACTCCCTTGAACTTGAAAAGAGAATACTACTTGTGATTAGGAGAAGAATATTAATTTGACGGCTTAAGTGTTGCAATGTACATCATAAGTTTCATTGTTTTTTATCTCTTTATTTCTCTACAAAAAATTAAAGCAAGACATGTTTTTGAGGATCTAAATGATGGTTAGTTCGAGTTAGTTAGTTTCTTATTTACCACAGAGTTGAAGGCAACAAGAACACCAGGAGATGTGTGTGTGTTAATATACCTTCATCTAATACTAAGCAAGTCAGTATTTCATTTGCCCCTGTAAAAATGTAATCTCTTATCCTTTGAAGGTATCGTACATAAGAGAAATTTTTGGCCCGTCTCCCCGAGTTGGACTTCTATTCTCTATCATAAATTATATAGAAGAATCTTTTGTAAGAAAGTCTTGGAAACCACAACGTGCAATTGGCTTTCCATTTCTTTAATTTTCCAAGAGATTAGTCCTGCGAGATCACAATATAGTTCTTTCATATATCTCACAAAACAAGATAGTGGTTTCAATCATAATTAAGCTGAAGAGAGTCTGTAAGACTGATGAATCCACCCGGAAAACCCGAATTCTAGAATTTTTTAAGCCAATGCTTTAGTTATTTACGCAATTGAAGGACATATTTTTATCAAATTATAAGCTTTCTTCTCAAACAAGCAACAATTGCTACGGGTCCTGAAACAAAATGATAGATTTTAATAGGATTTTGTTTTGTACTCAATTTTAAATCATTAGTCCGAGATAAAGGAATGATATTCTAAGGAAGCAAAGCAAAAGTAATCCTGCTTGGAGACTATAAGGGAATTTAGGTTAGAAGCATTCTACTTAAAGTCAAGGTTGTGAGCCATGACAATCCTCTTATAATATCGCGAGTGTTAGAGGAAAGGTCGAGTAAAAATCTAAAGCTAACACTTACCTCAAATCAAGTCAACACCACTCCCAGGTTTAAGAGAAAGAAAAGTTCTAAAGAAAAGAAAGAATTATTTTATTTCTAAGTTTAAAGGTCTTTTCAAATGGGGTTGTTGTTAGTTGTGGGTAGTTTGATGTATTGGTTTTGGGTGCAGAGTGGTAATTCTTCTGCCCATCGGGATTTAAGGAGAAACCACATTCTAAGAAACCAAAATATAATGTGATTATGTACACATAGTCAACACCTCTATAAATAAGGAATCAGGTAAAATAATTTTATTTTCACTCTACGTTTATGAAAATAAAATTCAATTTATATGGACAATAATCCTCAATCCCCACGTAGTTTCGCCAATACCAACCAATAAGGTCCCTATAAAACTTATACATAAAACCAAGGGCCCAGATTCATTTAACAAACACACATGTACATCATCGAGAAACTCAACCACAAGATTTGCTCAATGCAGTTTCATCTTATCATTGCCTAGGTGAGGAAAAGATCGAGTGCTCCTCACACATTCAATAGGGTTCTGACTTCACTGTCGTCGTAAATATCTTCTTATTAGGGTTCCGACCATCACCGAGGCTACAAATCGTGATAACTTCTCGTAGCTTTCCGCTATTAAATTTTCACCTTAAGCTAAAATATTGACTAATGTAATGTTGGATTTTATTTTTATTTGAATTGATGTTCTAGGGAATTTATTTGTTGAATTCAATTTCATTGCTTGATGGATTCATTCATTTTATTTATTTATTTATGTTGTTTTGTTGTTGCATGAGTTGTTGTTTGTTAGGAACCTCTTTGGAAACAATCGCAAAACGTTTATGTATGCAATGCAACAAACACCTCAACTCAAATGCATATGGTACCATTTGTGGACATAAGAGTTGTATTACCTATTTCATCTACTCACTGTTGGTTCCTCTTAGAACCCGAACTCATCATTGATGACCTCTTTTGAACCAACGACTCGTCACTTCCATCACCGACACACATGATGCATGATATGTAACAACAATATACAAATGCAATAATTCACCATTGGTTCCACTTCGGACCATGCACAACGCCAAATAAGGCCATTCCAATAGTCCTCATTTGAACTACATTTTCCAACATAAACATGTAATTATAATTCACAACATATAATTACATAAAACATTTCACTATTATTCATGTAATTAATATATTAACTTAACACAACAAAATCACCAAAATAGCAGTAAAATAATATTCGCATACGAAAATAACTCAAAAAATTGAATAAAAAACTCAGTATCGATCAACGTCAACCTCGACGGTCAACCCATCACAGGGATGACGGTCGTCACCCTGCCCGTCACACCTTCCCCTCACCAGCCCGTCGTCCAACTGGAGATTGGCAGAAAAATCCCACTTGGGGACCATGAGGGTCAACCCGTCAGCCCTCACAGGTGCATGACAGTTAGCGTGTCACGCCAGTGACACCCGTCACCCGCCATGCAGAAACCCATAATTGCGATTTCTATCATGGGAGCTCTTCCAAAGCTCCGATTTTGGCCCCTAGTCACCCAAATCGAACAAAAAATATCACATATATTTCATATAAGGTTTATTGCATCAATTAACCATTTATTAATCATCTAATTCATCAATTTATCACAAATATAAGAATATGTTCATCACACCAAAAACCATAAATATGAACAACCACCTTCCAATTATCACACATGAGAGTATACGAAAATCAGTAGTAAAAACAATGCACTAATTCATATCACTCGCAGCAAATATAACAAGTTTTACACAACCTTTAAAAAAATACATGAAGCATCAACAATGGGAAAAACACGGAGAAAACAAAGAAGACGGTGAGAATCCCTCACTACCCTTCATGCAATTGACACTTATAGATGAGTAATTCCCCTCTTACCTCAATTTTCAAGCAAAGAGGTCGAATCTTTTGATAATGATGCTCTCTCTCTCTCTCTCTCTCTCTCTCTCTCTCTCT